CTTCCGGGTGGGGAGTCCAGAAGCACAGGGCTGGCTGCTGTCTCTGCTTAAATGCAGTGTGCAGGGGAGGGGGTCCAGAGAGCCCAACCCCAGCCCAGGCGCAATCACACCGTCAGAGAGGGCCCCAGCCAAGACCTTGTCAGCAGCCATGAGCCTCCCCACTGGCACCAGTGTCAGCCCCCAGAAGATGCTGGCCCCGCCTACACCCAGGCTGGAGGGATGGGGACAGGGCACCCTGCTCCGCCTCCTCGGCTGTGCCAGGTGCCGTCAGCACTGGTTCCCCTGGTCAGGGTGCAGCGTGCAACGGAAGGGATGATGGGACCAGGGCAGAAGCACAGGGACAGCCAGAGGGGTGGCACCTGGTGGCGTGTGGAGGGCGTGGCGGGGGCACAGGGTGGCCGAGCATGCCTGGCCTGTGGCATCCGCTCTTCTGTCACCAGTGAGCACCTGTGGAGCATGTCACAAGCACGTGTGGCCTGACCACAGGCATTGCTCTGAGAAGCCGCTCGTAGACTCCAGGATGGGTGCCCTGGCCAGCGGGGCTCCTGAAGCCATTCATTCGGCTACCTCACAGCTCCGTGACGTGATCAACTCCCAGAGCTTCCTCTCTGCTGCATTTGTTGTTTGTTTTGTCTTTCCAGACAGGGTTTAGCCCTGGCTGTCCTAGACCAGGCTGTCCTTGAACTCAGAGACCCGCCTGCCTCTGCCTCCTAGGGTAAAAGGCTTGTGCTGCCGCCACTGCTGCTGCCTGGCCTTCCTCTGAGGATGACAGGCACATACCTCAGCTCTAGAAACTTCCCAAATGACAGGAAGGCTGCCTTGCTATTTTCCTTCAGGGCAGGGTGGGGACAGGAGCTGAGCCAGCTCTCTAGCCCCCCAGCCGCCTCAGCTCCAATCCTTCAGTCTTTCATGCTTAGTGTCAACAGCAGGCTGTCCCTACAGAGCAGCCTGCAGCCAGCACAGCACTGCCTTCCCCCCCCCCATACCCTCCTCCCCTGCCATCCCCTACCTTCCCTCCCCACCCCCACCTGTTGCCTTGCCTCTTGACATCTGACCTCCCAAAGTTCTGTGGCAGCTCTCCCACCCAGGCTTGGGGCAGATTCCGGATTCTGGATTCCATAGTCGGCAGCCTCTCAGAGGCAGGAGGTGGCAGAAAATCAGCATGTAGATAGCAGGGTTGGGTTTGAACTGAGGTCCTTCCTCCAGCCTCCGGCTTCTCTCCAGCTGGCTCAAGGCTCCCAGCACTGGTGATTTTTTTTTTTTTTTTTTTACATGGTGTCTCACTGTGTAGCCCAGGCTGGCTTCTCGGCCTCCCCAGCCCTGGGTTGACGCAACCATACCTGGCACTTGGGACTGAGTCGTCTGGGATGGGGAAGGACTATCCTGCACCTCCCCAGCTGTGAGGGGCCCCGCCAGGGTTTGGTTCCTCATGCCTGCGCTGGGTTCTCTGAGCCTGGGAAGTGGTTTTCTCCTGGTCACCTCAAAGAAAGGAGCTAGCAGGCAGGGAGGGGAAGGGGGCATGGACATCCAGGTCTCAGGAGAGCAGGCCTCCTGAACTGGCCATCTCAGTGATGGAAGGGACACAGCGCCAGGATCAAGAGGACGCAGCGGACTGAGTCAGATGCCCCGAGGAGATGCAGGGGCCCCGGCACCGGTTATGGGCAGTGGAGACCTGGGGGAAGAGTCACCTTTGGGTGGTGGCACTGAGTGCAGAGAGGCCCCTCACGGGACCGTGCACCTGCTGGCAGAGCCCTGAGCTCTGGGTGCAGTGAAACCGGGGTCACCCTGCTTCCCAGGACCCAGGGGCTGGCTCAGCAGAAAGTCATCTGCAGGGACAAAGGGCAGTGTCTTGGGAGTGACTGAGCCACATCAGATGGGCAGCATGTGTCCTTATGTGTCTGTGTGACACTTCTGCCGACCAGTCCCCGAGAGCAGAGCACTGTGAGCCTCCAGCCCTACGCAACCCCCACTTTCAGGCACTTGAAGTCACCATCTGGGGGGGCGTTACATTAACCCATGTTGACACAAACATGGCTCTCCACTCAAATGCACTAAGAGTTCATTCTGGAGCCAAACATGGGTGACGTGGCCCAGGAACAGCAGTACCGCCTACCTCAAATCCCGAGGTCTCCACAGTGGCTGAGGAGCGGCGGCCAGGGCTGCCTTGATGCTCTTAGTGACCTAGCCTGTGGGTTGGTGGCACTTGGGGCTCTGTTAAATTGATACATCCCAAAAGGTTTTTATTTCCAGTTTGGATGTCAGGACTGATACAGAGGGGCAAGAAATGGCTGCTTAGGAGGCAGAGGCTAGCTCGGGATAGCTGCAGCACCCTGACCTCCCGGTGTGGAAGCTTTAATCTATCTCGTGGCCTCGGAGCATAGCTCCTTCCCAGGGCTTCTTTCTCGTGCCAGAAACCAAGCTGTGTGGCCCCTGGAGCTGTTATTTTTGTTGTTGTTGTATTTAGTGTGTGTGTGTGTCTGGGGGGGGGATTTGGGGGAACAGCATACATGCTGGAGGATGGCTTGCAGCTGTCCCGGCCCTGGGGGTTGAACTCCGGTTGCCAGGTGGGCGGAAAGTGCCCTGACCCACTGAGCGCTCTCCTGGGACAGGAAAGGAGTGACATGCTGTCTCAGCAGCCCCTTCCAACCCACTGGGGCTGGCCAAGACTGCCCTGCTCAGCAGGCTGCGCCAGCTCCAGAACCCCGTAACCCAGCTGTGGTGGTGGCAGTCACACACCTGGCATCAGCCCCGGAGAAGTGGAGGCTGGGCGGCCAGGAGTTCAAGGTCAGCCTCAGAACTCTGAGCTCAGGGCTACTGAAGACCCGGTCTTCAAGAAACCCAAGAAACAAAAAAGACAAACAGGTGGAGTTGGGCACCCCAAAAACTCAACTGAAGGGAACACCACAGGGTGCCTGGGGTGGACATGGCTAAGGCACTCCAGTTCCAGGACCTGTCTTCTCTCTCTCTCTCTGCTCAGTGTATAGGCACTTGCGTGGGCTCAGCCTCAGACTTCAGGGTGATTGCCAAGAAATGCTGAGTCTCTTGGGGGACCCTGGCCCTTCCTGGGGCCATTTCCAGCTGTCATACAGGATAAGCCTGGCGTGAGCACCGCTCCGCACCTGCTCTGAGTACCTGCTAGCAGGCAGTTCAGGGGCGTGAGGGCAGAGCTCGGGAAGGGGAGACACTTTGGGTAAGAAGGGGCCACGTGCAGCGGCCATAGCCGCCTCCCACATGCCAGGTGGAGGCCATTTGGCTGGCCCTGTCCCCCTCACTCAGAACAGGGACACAAGTTGCATTCTGGGTGGCAAAGACCTCAGTGGCATCCATCCAGATGCCACCAAGACAGTACTAAGACCAAGTGGGCTGGATTCCCCCAGAGCAGCCAGGCCTGATCCCTGTGACTCAGGTGACAAGGTGTGACAGGGCCACAGCTCTCCTGGACAGATGGACGGAGGGGTGGGGATGAAAGGAAGAGAGAGATTGCTTAAGGTCACAGTGAGTCAGGGTAGCCAGGAGCCGAGCCCAGCCCAGAAATGGCTCGCAGCCTCCCGCCCTTCCTAGGCTGCCCAGTGGTTGCTAGGCAACTGAGGAGTTTTTCCTGTAAACAAAGGGCGCTTCCCTAGTGGATCCACCTGGCGCCAGGCCAGCCCCAGCCAGCGCACTGCAGCCTGCCACTGCCCCTCAGAGTCGCCTGGAGACAGCAGGCCAGGACTGGCCACTGCGGCCTGCAATCCAGCCACTCCACCTGGGCACTCTGTCAAGTTCACAGTGGATGCACTGGGCAGAATGGAGCTGCTCCTGGGACATGCAGGCCTTCTCTTGGACCCTGACCTGGCCTGTGGCAGATCTGTGTCACCAGGGAACATGAGCCAGCCCCAGGGAGAGGATGACAGGCTGCTCTCAGCCCTTCTGGCTATTGGCTGCTCTTGGGCTCCTGAAAGCCCCATTAGTGAGGTATTTGGGTGAGGAGAAGCAGAGGAAGCCAGGTCCCCCAGGAGAAAACAAACAAACAAACAAGGGGCAGAGAAGCTGGGGGCCGTGAGCAAGTCAGCTCACCAGTCCCTCAAACCGGCACACACATGAGCGCATCCCATGCAGCAAAGGCACACACACGTGCAAACACACCTAACTAGCTTGTCAGCCTCAGTGTGCCATACGTGTCCTTCCCGTTAAATGGCAACCTTTAACTTTTCCGCCCGACCAGACGCTTGCCAGCTTCTCTCTGGCCTGGAGCAGCGTCGCTCACCCTGAGCCTCGGGCCTATTTGGAGAGCCGCTGAGGGCTCCACTGTTCAGACACGGGATGGAAGCTGCTGGGCGTTACCGTTCGTTTCACATGTTCTGGGAGTCTTTGGTGACAAGTTTTGTTTGTTTGACACAGCCTCACTCAGTAGTCCAGGCTGGCCTGAAACTCACCTTGTAGCCCAGGCTGGCCTGTGAACGCCAGGAACACGGCGCCTCCCCACCATCCCCTTCCACCCGGCTCTGCCCCTCGTCTCACAGTCGCTGCGACTCCAGGCACGTGCTAGCTTTTTACTGGGTTCCGGGTCAGAACTCAGGTTCCGGGGCCTTCCAGAAGAACATTTTGCTGACCGGGCCATCTCCCCATCATATGCTGGGTTTGATTTATCCGTTCATCCGTTTTCAGTTACTCATTCCTGCATTACTCATTTCCTACAAAATATTTTGTTCTGCTTTTGTCGTCCCGGCTGGCTTCAGACTACTTACCTTGAGCTCCTCACACTGGTGCCTCCACCTTGACCCTGAGCAGCGCCAAGAGCTTTCCTTCTTGAAACCACTGCCTGGCGCATGCCTGCGCTGCGTGGTTCTGGCGCCATCTCGTGGTTTCCCTAGGGCAACGCAGGCGGGCGCGGAACCCGCGGACTGCTCTGGGTCCCCACACAGGGGTCAGGGTCCTCGGCCTCAGCTCCGCCAGGAGCTCCCACCGTGCAGGACGCCATCCGCAAGGACCCCACCCCTCACCACCCCTCTCTCCTCCAGGTCCGAGCATGCAGAACTCCGAGGGCGGAGCAGACTCGCCCGCGTCCGTGGCTCTGCGCCCTGCAGCGCAGCCCGTGCCGGCCTCCCCACAGGTGACTGCGCCGCCAGCCGCCCCGCGCTCTCCACCCAAGGGACCGTGACAGATCGGGAGAGGCCACCCCAGGGCAGCTGGCATGTCTCTCGAACACTGAGAGCTCTGGGCCTCGGGGGAAAAAAGCCTGAAAAACAGGGTAGAAACAATTCTTAGGATGCTCCCCCAGCTCTGTTCAACTCTCTTCTCCGCTTTCATTTTTATCTCTTTCTCCATCTCCATCTCCTCCTCCAACATCTCCTCCATCTCCTCCTCCAACATTTCCATCTCCTCCATCCCCTCCTTCATGGCACCCTCCAGTCCACCCTGCTGCACCTCTCAGTCCTTGCCTGTTAGAGATGGAGCCCGCTGAGTGTGCTTCCCCCCAGCCTAGATTCCTGGGAGAGTGTTGCCACCCCGCTCTTCTTCAGAGGAAAGCAGGGGACAGGACTCGTGGGCATGCCAGCACTGGAAGGCCAGGAGCGTGAGCACCGGTCACATGACCCACTGGTTTCCAGGAGTGGAAGGAGCCAGGCAGAGCCAAACAGCCCATCCATGCTTTTTTGTTTCTTCTGAAGAGCTGGGGACAAACCCAGGACCTTTGTACTAGCTAGAGAAGGGCCCATCCTCAAAGAGTGCACAGCTCCACACCTTTCCACTCCAGCCCTCCACTCCTCCCCACCTCACCTCCTCATCTCATCTTCTCATCTCACCTCCTCACCTTCCCACCTCCCCACCTCCCCACCTCCTCGAGTCCCCAGCCTCAGGTCTGACTTGCACACTGTAAGGCGGTCTGGCTTGGAATGTGAGCTGCTCCTGCCTCATCCTCCTAGGACTGTAGTTGTAGGTCTGTGGTCACTGTGCCCACCAGCTCTCACTTCCTGCAGACAGGCTGCCTGGCAGCAGGTGGGCCATCCTGTGCAGCTGATGCTCAGGCGCCCCTGGGCGTGTTGCTCAGCTTCCTCAGAGCCGTCCTGCTAGGACAGGCCTCTGCCTGTGCTGCGCCCCTGTGCAGCCCAGGGCCCTTGCACTACCTCCATCTTACATGGGTCTGCTGACACGGCCACTCACTGCCCGGTCGCACTGCCCAGTGTCAGCCGTGGGCTGACGCGCTCAGCCGGCCTCCTGCTCAGAGGCACTCCTACTCTGAATGCCGAGATCACAGGTATTCACCACCACACCAAACCCAGCCAGTACCATTTGCAGAATTTTGTTCTGTTTTGTTTGTTGTTGTCTTTTTTTTGAGACAGGGCCTAATGGTGCCTGAACCCAATTTCTGTGACGCTGGGAATGGGAGCCAGGGCGTCATTCATGCTGGGCTGGCTACAGCCCTACCCCTCACTGTTTCATGATCCATTTTATTATTTTATTTCTTTCTTTCTGTTTTTTCAAAACAGGGCTTCTCTGTGTAGCCTTGGTTGTCCTGGACTCATTTTGTAGACCAGGCTGGCCTTGACCTTGTAGAGATTCACCTGCCTCTGCCTCCTGAGTGCAGGGATCAAAGGCGTGCACCCACCTGGCTTATTAAATTTCCCGCTCTGTAGTACACACTTGCTTTAAATTCGAAGCTAATCGCCCTGCCTTGTCCTGAGTTCTGGAATTAGCGGTGCGGCACCGAGGTGGGAGGAAGCTGTTCTGTGTGGACACAGGCTGCCAGCTGGAGGGTACGGAGGCCTCCGTCTAGCACCCTGGAAACAGGGTCTTTCACTGGAGTGAGGCAGCCCGCCCCAGGATCCTGTTGTCTCGGCCTCCTGTGCTGAGGTCATAGGAACTCACAGCCGCACCCCACTTTCTGTGTAGATGCTGGGATTCGAACCTTTGTCCTCATGCTGTGCAGCAAGGGCTCTTATCCAGAGTCATTTGCACAGGCTTCCTAATTACCCTTTAATTGAGCTGTAATTGGCATAATATAAACCGAACCATGTGAGAGTAGAGTGGGTTTATTGTACTCACAGAATCCAGCCATCCTGTCCCTCTAGTTCCAGAACGTTCCATCACTTGCCCCTCGACCCCCAAAGGCCCATCCCCTCAGCAGCTGCGCACCCTTCCTGTCCCAAATCAGCTTCCTTCTCGGGTTCTGTCCAGGGGCCCACGATGTGGCGTCTGAGCTCCGTGGTGTCCGTCCTCAAAGTCTCCCCGTTCTCAAGGGTTCTCCATGCTCTGGTGGGTGTCATCCTGTTCACAGCTGGGTGCTGTTCCAGCGCGAGGACAGACGGGAGGTGGCCAGGTCCCTGTGGTGTCTGGCTGTGGCTCCCAGTAGTGCCTCACCCACAGGCCTAGGTTCGCTGTCATGGTCAGGACCTAGCCGGGCTTGCAGCAACGCTCCCGAACGCCCTCTCAGCGGCCCTTAGAAAATGGGTGCCCACTACCTCAGGGACCCCCTCTACAGGCTGCCTCCGACCCATCTGGTCTGCCTTCTACATACAAAAAGTGGCTCAGGCCAGTGAGGGCCAGCGTCAGGCCAGGGACCCCTGCAGAGGACCACCTGCCCCTGCCGCATCCCTGTGACCCAGCATGCTGTCACAGCAGGAGTGGGTCTTCCCGGGTGGGTCTCCCGAGGGTCTGACTCTCCTGTTGTCTGTTGCAGAGGGTGCTGGTCCAAGCTGCGGGCTCCACTCCCAAGGGTACCCCAATGCAGCCCCTCACACTCCCCAGGGTCCAGCCAGTGCCACCACAGGTAAGGACACCCCGGGAGAACCTGGCAGCCTCTGGCTTGGGAGTCATTTTCCTGTTGTTACTGGTGTGTGCAGCCACCAGAGATTCCGGAAGCTCTGTTACAAGAAAACACTTTACCTACCCCAGACAGCCACAGCAAGCGAGGGCGGGCTGGCTCTTTTGTCTCAGCAGCACAGGGCCAGCTGCTACTGCGCAGGTGGTCCTTGGTCACCTTTGCCTCTGAGGACGGAGGCAGGCCTCAAACATGACCTTTTTTAGAAAAGACCATGGACATTGTGACTGTCCGTTACTATGGCCAAACAGCCGTAGTTATGTGTGAGTGTTGTGCTCTATTCGCAAGACCCCCAAAAGACCACCAGGAGTGGAGTTCGTTGCAAATCACAGGAAGATCTTTATTCAAGCTTAAGCTGGGGCCACCAATCTTCCCTCACATAGCAGGTTAGAAAGTGAGGCCCCAGGTCTCAGGGGGACAGAATTTTTAAAGGGCAAAACTGAAGGGGGGAATTCCAAGCCTTGTTGTTACAGGGAAGGGTAAGATGGGGGTGGTCAGCAAGCAAGGTGACCTTTAGGCTGTTTGTTCCAAGCCACCTGGCCAAACTGCAAGATATCTAAAAGATCTGTACAATAGCCTGCTGGGTGGAGGGCCCATTAACACATGCTGTGGTATTTATGACAACCGGTGGGGCGGAGGCCTGATTATAGTATCTGTTAACACATTCTTCGGGTATCCTCAACAACCTGCGGGGTGGAGGGCCATTCGGCCCTTCTCGGAACCGAAGATGGGGGCCAAGTCAAAGACAGTCAGCTTAAGACAGAGTCTAAGAAACAATGGAGCCGCCCCTGCCGTCCTCAGTTCCTTCATGAGGAGGGGCAAGGTGCCAATAAAAGTTTTTTACAAAAAGGCCAAGGGCTGAGGAGCTGCCTGGCACCAGGCAAGGCATGCAGTGGGTGATGGTGACGTGACCGTGCTGCAGAGCCGGGGCGTTTGCGGGGTTCCCAGGCTCTCCGAGGGATCCCCAGGACTGGCCGTTGGCTCTGAAGGAGGAGGGCATACTGACTGACTGGGAGGCTGAAGTCTGGGCCCTAGCCCTGGACATCTACTGTACAGCATGGCGCTGCCCCTTGCTGGGGGTTGGGGGCTGGTCTCACAGGTGCTGCTGTTTCCCCTACGGCGCCTCTCCAGGCCCATCTGTTTCCAGCCAGGCCCCATCTTCACTGTCTCCCACCCCATACCTGAAAAAGGTAGCTTTCCTCCGCGGCAAGCACAGTGTCTCACCCCAGGGCTCAGACAGGAAGTGCAGCCTGCCCCCAGGAGCTCGGCCAGGCAGAGGCTGCCTAGCGGCTGCCTAAGCCAGACACAAACAGCCCTGCACTCAGGAGGCGGAGGTCAGGACGTTATCCTCAGCTGCACAGTGCAGCTCAGCCTGGGCTTCTGGGGCTGCCGCAGAGCTAAGCGAGCTCAGGCTCGGGGGCACACGTAGCTCCCTAAGCTCCCTAAGTGGCAGTGCGGACTGGCCACTCGAGGGGAGGGGGGTTCTGACATACAGCGTGGCACCATGTGACTCACACTCGTGTCGTTGCAGGTGCAGCACGTGTACCCAGCGCAGGTGCAGTATGTGGAGGGCGGGGATGCCGTCTACGCCAACGGAGCCATGTACGTGTGTGGCGGGGGGGGGGGGGGGCACAAACTCCACTCCTCCCTCAACCTCCATGGTCCCTCAGGGCCTTTGTGTTCCTGGCTTCTAGAAAATTTGATAAAAATGTCAACCCAAAGCCACCATCCCCTGGAGCGTGATGTGATGACTGGGACTTTTTCCTTTGGGCCTTTGATGAGTTTCTTGGACTGTTGACAAAACTTATTCTCCATTTTTTAGGATATTTTGGAACTTGCTAGAATGTTCTTGGTTCTCGTGTGTGTGTGTGTGTGTGTGTGTGTGTGTGTGTGTGTGTGCGCGCATTTGTGTGTAGTGGGGATATGAGTGCGGACGTGTTGCATTTGTGCACGTGAGTGCGGTGCCCTCTGAGGCCAACAGAGGGCGTCAGGTCTCCAGGAGCTGGAGTGACCGGGTTCTCTGAAGCAGCAGCCCTGCTACCGCTGAGCCGGCCCTCTAGGCAAGCGTGTCCCCCTCCTCGCCCTCTCAGTGCCATGATTGTTGTAAAAGGACCACACTCTCTCTCCACAGCCGAGCGGCCTACGCCTACAACCCAGACCCTCAGCTCTACGCCCCCGGCAGTGCAGCGTCTTACTTTGAGACTCCGGGTGGCGCTCAGGTGACAGTGGCCGCCTCTTCCCCCCCGGCGGTCCCCTCCCACGGCATGGTGGGCATCACCATGGATGTCGCGGGGACCCCCATCGTGTCTGGCACGGGAGCCTACCTCATCCATGGGGGCATGGACGGCTCGAGACACTCCCTGGCCCACACCGCCCGCTCCTCGCCTGCCACGGTAGGTACAATGGCCCTGCGGGCAGCGGGTAGCCCCACTAGCCTCCCGGCAGCCAGCAGGTGCACAGGTGAGTTGGAAGGACCAGGTCGGGTCCTGCCAGCCGCTGAGGCTCGGAGAGATGGAGGCAGCTGTGCCCCGTTCCCACTAGGAGAAGACCAGGGCCTCGTAGATGTTGGGGAGCAGAGCACCCTGCCGTGGCAGTGCTGCCGTCCAGCCTCCTGGGGCCTCCCCAGGCCGGAGAATGCAGGGACCCAGGCCCCAGACAGTTCACTGCTCACCTGCCTTAAATAAGCTCTCAGTTGGACTTTGGGGGTTTTGTGGGAAAGGGGGAGTTGAAACAGTCTTGCTGTGTAGCCCAGGATGGCTGGGCGCTTTCCCTGTAGTGCGGGCTAACCCACAATCCTCAGGCTCCCAGGCCCCCGGCTCTGTCCCATCTTTGTTTCTTGTCTGTCACTTTGTAAGTTAACACGCAGGCGCGTCACTGGTGCAGGACTTGGTCTCTGCTCCCACCCAAAAACAACAAACCAAACTGCTTGCCTGCGGTGCTGGCCGCTCTGGGGCTGTTCTTGCTGTTGTGTTTGCGGCCTGTAGGCTATCAGAGGGGGAGTCGCAGTGGGGCTCTCGGGCTGGCTTCCCGACTGCGCCCTCAGCGTGTGGCCTTAGAGACCCCGCTGGTGGGTGGCGCTGTGAGTGGGAGGTTCAGCGGAAGGCCCCTGGCTTGGGAGCTTGCTGAGAAATGAGGCTGAGCAGCAGGTGTGCAGTTTCTCCTTCTCTGGGGTCAGCGCTGCCGTGGGGTGGCCGGCTCGCTTCAGCCACCCTGTCAGGGAGTGAGAGTGCTTCCTTGCCAGCCCCGGTAGGTGTGCTTGGTGGTAAATTGTTTGCCCGCTGTCTGGAACAAAGGGCCTGGCGCTCCTCTGTGCTTGGGGGTTACTTTGGCTTGGGGGGGGGGGGGGGTTACCACTCAGCCCAGCTGCTGACTGAGAAGAAACCTCTACGTCCGGAAATGGTGATCATGTATCAGCAGATACATGATTTGTAAATATTTTCCATGCCCGAGCTTTCTTTTGTAAATTATCTAAATTCAGGGTCTGGGGAGATGGCTCAGTGCTTAGATCTTGCCATCCAGCATGGGGGCCTGAGTCCAGCTCCCCAGACCCCACATGAGTGTGGGGGTCAAGGAGGCACACTTTAACCTAGCCTCACAAGGCAAACACAGGGCCCCAGAGCTAGGGACGAGCCCCAGCTGCGAGCTCTGGGTGTGACTGAGAGAGCCTGTCTTGTTGGATACGGTGGAAGCGCAATCAAAACCGTAATTTCTGTCAACCTCGACCTCCACATGGCACACACACACATATGTGCAGATACGCACAGCAGCTCCAAAGATACCCGCTATACCCACAGCAACCCCGGCACCCAGCTCTGAGAACGGGTGTGATGTCATGCCTGAGTTTTTGAGAGAAGCCACTGGCTGTGATGTCCTGGGGCCGTGCTCGCTGTTCAGGCCTGCATTTACCTGGCCCCAGCATGCCGGAGCCTGGCAGCTGAGGGGCACCACAGGACCTCCCCGTCCATCAGAGGATGGTCTGGGTCACGTGCTTCGGAGAGCACATGACATCCGCTCCCGGCAGCCTGCCCCATGTGCTGGGGATCCTGTCACCAGGCCTCCCAGGAGCAGCCGGGGGTCCGAAAAGTGTGTTTTCATTCGCAAACAGAGAATCCATGTAAATGCTGATGCGCAGAGGGTGTGGGCTGCCCGCCGCAGCCTCAGATTGTGGAGATGGCTGCTCCAGGGAACATGGTGGAAAGGTGGGGGCAGTGAGTCCTGAAACCAGCGCCAGCCCTCCATGCCCACACGTGCACACACATGCGCCCACACACATGGGGAGACACCGCCACAGGAAGAGAAAGGGAGAAGTCACGTGTGTCTGTGCCACTTGGGTCCGGGAGATCTTTGCTGAATATGAATGGTCTCTATTTCACAAAGAGATTAGCATTAAAAATAAAGATAGAAGTTTAGGGGCTGGGGGATGGCTCAGTGGCTAGAGCACTGGCTGCTCCTGCTGAGGACCCGGGTTCAGTTCCCAGCACCACTGTCTAACTGCAGCTCCTGAGGACCCAATGCCCTTTCCTGGCCTCTGTAGAAACTTCAGTTGTGCAAGTGCGCGCGCGCGCGTGCACACACACACACACACACACACTGAAATCTCAAAATACATACTTTAAGGGGCTAAGAGATATTTCAGAATAACAATTCTTTTTGTTTCCTTGTTTCTTTTCTGTCTTTCAAGTCTTCTTTTTTTTCCCATTATTATTATCATTTACAGTTTCACATGGAGATTTTTGAATGTGTGATTCATAGCTTTCATCAAATCTGGGAGGTTTCCAGCCATTGTATCTTCAGATTTCAAGTTGGTTTCTTTTCCGTGCTCTTGCTCTGTTGGTGTCTGTGTCTGATGAAACCCTGTCCTTGTGGGTTCCTTCTGTTCTTTGAATGTGGTTCTCTTTAGGCCTTATGCATGTACAGCTCCCTTAGGTCATAGCCAGTCTGTTGCCCCGGGCCCTCAGGGACAGCCCGTTGACTCTGTGGACAGCCTCAGTGTTCCTTATTTGGATGCCTCATACTTTTCTGTAGAGAATGGTCTCTTCAGCAACACTGCGCGGATGCCCTCGCTGCCCCGCACGCCACCCTCCGGCGTTCACTGTGGCACTTTGTGACGGTTGTCACTGATTGTTTGATGGGCTTTCTGGGCCGCTGTGAAATCTGTATTTGTCGTGGTGAACACTGCAATCTGTTGGCTGGCTGGGAGCTCAGCTGGCGTTGATGGACACACAGCAGACATTTGGGTGTTTCCTGCTGCTGTGGTTGCTGAAGGGTCCAAGCATTCCTGCCTCCTGTCCGTGAGTCAGAGAGTTGAGATGAAGGTGATTCTCGTGACCTCTGCCCACGCAGCCCCACTCCCCGACCTCTCCCTTTCTGCAGATAGCGAGTGTATTCTAAATGCTGGCTGTGAGTGGGGAACTCACAGGTGCGCCATTAGGGTTCCATGCTGAACTTTAAGAGCCCAAAGCCTCAAGGAGAACGATTCCTGGAGAGCTGAGACAAGGAAGAGGCCCCCTGTGCCCAGCGGTTTGCTTTTCTGGGGACAGATTTCTTTTGGCACAGTCCCTGGGGAGCAGGCACAGAGATGTACAGGTTCCTTTAGGGTTTTGATAACGGAGAGATATTCTTTATTTTTAACCACACTCCCTTCTCTCCTCCCATCCAGGTCAATTTTAAAATAGTGAATCCGTAGACATAACTTTTCCACCATAAATTCTGTGGGAACGTTGGTAAATTTAAGCCCTTTTGTTGTTTGGGGAGACGGTATCTCAGTGTTTCCCCCAGGCCACCGCTCCTCACACCCTTGTGCCCCACTGCCCCCAAGCACACAGACGGGTGTCACCCCACATCTCCCTTGAGAAAGTCAACCCTTGAAAACAAACACTGGGCCAAGTGTGGTAGCTTTAACCACACTACCCAGGAAGCCGAGGCAGAAGGACTTCTGTGAGTTCCAGGACAGCCAGGGCTGCACAGGAAGACCCTGGCTCAAATTTTAAAAGAAGAAAAGAGAGGGAGAGGACAGGAGAGAAGGGTGAGGCCGAGGGCAGGCCCATGGTGAGGAACGTGTGAGCTAGCATGAAGACCCCAGTCCCCGGGGCCTACGCCAGAGGGGGTGGCGTGCCATCCCAGCCGGGGCCTGCTGCCGCCCCAGCAGGGCTAGCGGGCTGTCTCCAAAATAAGACGTAAAGAGTCCTCCATCCCCATGGGCAGATGAGCCCGCTGCAGCCCCCCAACCCCCCTTTATTGGGGGCGTCATTCAGCACAAGTTCAAATCTTGTCCTTCCCTGTCCTCCTTTGTGTGGACCACCGCCTTCCACCAGAGGTTGAGTCACTCATGGAAGGTTCCAGAAGTGGGAAGAAGTGAGTGCATTCAGCTCCTGCTCACACAGCCCACCGGATGCTCAGCCCCCTCTGCCTCTGGCGCGCTTCTGTCTTCTCGCCCGCCTGTGCCCAGTGCTGATGGGAGCGGCCTCTGCCTGTGCCCCAGGACCCCTCTGTGCCATGTAAAGACAACCCCAGTGTTCTGGCTCATCCAGGCATTATTCGCTGGGGGAGGAGAGCACAGAAGCACTAGAGGCCATGGCTTTTCTTTTCTTACCACATCATATTTATTGTGTGTGCTCACACACACTTGTAGACAGGCGTCAGAGGACAGCTTGCAGAAAGGGAGTCTCTCCTTCCACGGTGTGGGTCCTTGAACTCAGGTCACCAAGCTCGGTGCAAGTGCCTTCATCTTACCCCTGAGGCCTCCCGCCACCCTGGACCCTCAGTTTTAACATGGTCCTGGGAGCCTGGGAGCGAGACGCTCCTCTGCGCTGACCGCAACCCAGCTGTAGCCCCTGCCCTTCTGGGTGTTTGTTTTAGGGTCTTTCCTGGCTGCTGTTAGTGCCAGCATGGTCACACGGGGGCAGCTGCCCACAGCAGGCACAGAGAATGCAGGCCTCGCCTCCTCCTCTCCACCAGGGCTTCACCAGGCCACGGTTCGGTTCCCGGAAGTCTACTCTGTCCCCACCCCCTTCCCCAGGCCCCGTGTCCATTGCCTCTCCTGAGCTGTCCCCTAACTCCAGCTACTCAGGCAGCTGAAGTGGCCCAGAGTCCCTGAGCTCCTGTCTGGGAGCTGGTGGTACCACACCGGGAAGCTGGCCCAGGGTTCCGTGTCCCTACTGTCAGCTGGCCCAGGGTTCGGTGTCCCTACTGTGGTGTGGGCGTGTGCAGGCGAAGGGGCAGGGGTGACGCTGGGCTCACAACAGCGTCCACGTGCACACAGCAGCCATGATTAAGGTTTTTCCTCGGGGGGCTAGGACAGGGCTCCTTGGGTGAAGCGTGACCCCTCAACCCTCAGTAAGAAGCTGGCACGCGGCTCCTGCCTGTAACTCCAGCCCTGAGGAGGTGGAGACAAGAGGATCCTAGGATCCTGGCAGCCAGCCAGCGAGCTCCGGGTTCCGGGAGAGCCCCTGAGCCAGACCCTAAGGCGGAGGGGTTCAGGACCCAGGGCCCTCATGGGGCTCCCACAGTCTAACCTAGTTGTGGGAGACCCGCATGCCCTCTCTGGTGTCTGCAGGCACCAAGCGGACGCATGCATGGTGCACAGGCAGACATGCTGGCAAAAGGCCCATCCATGTCAGAGTGAAGCGGAGACTGACTGAGGAGGACCCCTGCTCACCTCAGCCTCTGGGCACCAGCTTGCCCCTTGGCCTGGTGCTGGGCTGTGACGTCGGGGTGTGGGCCACCGGTGACTCTCTGCTGCTGTCTTGGGCTCTAGGCTCGGGTGCATGGCACACAGCCTTGATCCTGCCACAGCTTCCCTCAGCGCTAACCCCCTGCCGCGGCGCCTCGCTAGCTGGCATTGTTATGTGGATGTGGTGTGGGCTGCCTGCCGCTAACCTTCTGATTTCCTTCTCTCCCCCACCCCACCCCCACCACCTTTTTGGTTTTGTCCTGTCTCTGTACACGGCTTCGTAGCTTGAAATGGCGATTGAGACTCTCCAAAAAGGCGAAGGCCTCGTGCCCCACAAAGGTGGCCTGCTCAACAGCCATGTAAGTGCGCTGGGGCCCCGGACGCCCTGCTCTGCATGGAGTGTTCACAGACTTTAGGAGAGCCCAGGGCCCCGCAGACTACAGCCAGAGAGGTTCAAGGGAGACAGAACACTAACCAAAAATCTCGGGAGAAGCAGCCTTAGACAGTGAGGAAGAGGCCAAGGCAGGGCCTTCGTGGGCGCCAGGCCCCTGATGACAGCACCTGTACCCTGGCTTGTCCCTGGGGTTGAGTTGGCTCATGACAGACCTGTGGTGCCATCATAAGAGTACATTCTAAGATCAGCAAGAAAGGCGGCAGAGGGGGACTGGCATGGTCACGCCTGTCAACCCAGACTGGGGATGCCGAGGCAGGAGGGTGGCAGTTTTCTGCCAGCCAAGACCCTGTCTCAAAACAGAAAGGACTGGGCAGCCTTAGGGGGTCAGGCCTGAGGCTGTGGGGTCATTTCTAACGTCACAGAGGCAGCTGCTGGGGCTCACACCATCACCCAGCACTCAGGAGACTAAGGCAGGAGGCCAGAAGGTTAAGGCCATCCCTCGCGTCAGAGCAAGTTTAAGGCTGGTCTGGGCTACATGAGAACCTGCTTCAAGGGGTTAAAAGGAAGGTCTAGAAGATGTCTAGTCAGTTAAGTACTTGCTGAGAACCCTAGTCCAAACTCCAGAACCCACATAAGACTGGCATGGTGGCATGTGCCTATATCCCCAGCACTCAGGAGGCAAAGAAGGTGAAGCGCCGTGTGTTTGAGGCTAGCCTGGTCTACACAGGGAGTTTAATATGAGCCTGGATGTTGCCTCCAAAATAATAATAAACATATTTGAAGAGACGGCTCAGTGATTAGGTCACTGGCTGCCCTTGCAGAGGACCATCCAGGACCGGTTCCCAGCCTCTGTATGGCAGCTCACAATAACTCCATTGCCAAAGCATCTGCCACCTTCTGGCCTCCTCAGACACGGTTTGCACATGGCGCTCAGCTTTACATGCAGACAGACACCCAGACACATACAGTAAGGTAAATAGTGATAATAAAAAGAAATAATGAAATAAAAAGATGACTTTTTAAAGGGGGAGGCGGCTCGGGACTGGGTTGCCTTGAAGCCCCTCAGCTGCGTGACTCGGAAATGTGAGACAGGTGGCAGGCAGCAGGCGGCTACTCTTGGCTTTGCTCTATGACAGAGGCCTGTCTGGGAGGTGAGCGCCCTAGTCCAGGACTCAGTGTGGCTATCTGGGACTGGAGGAGGGTCAGGATCAGGGTTTGGCCTGGAGAGTTCTGTCCCATCGCCCCCAATTCCCCCCCCCACACACACACACACACATACATACTCCCAAATGCTTCCTGTCCAACATTTGGGACCCTCTCTGCCTTCTCCTTTATTTACTTGGAAGCAGGGCCTTGCTGTGTAGCCCAGGCTGACCCAAACTCCATATCCTCCTGTCTCAGCCTCCCAAGTTCTGGAATCTCATGTATGACTGTGTTGGGCATTTGATGTATTTATTCTTGTTTGTTTATTGAGACAGACTTTCATGTAGCCCAGGCTGGCCTGGGATTCATTACGTATCTGATGGCTTTGAACTTGCAATCCTCCTGCCCCAGACTCCTGAGAGCTGTGATGACAGCAGTGTACTACTACACCTGACTGGGTTGGGCTTTCAAAAACTAAGACCTGCTAGCAAAGCTGGCCTGGGCTCTGGCCACTGACATGGCCCCCGAGTACAGCATTTTTCAGAGAGTCCTAGAGCTGCCTTTTGTCCAAGTTGATCCGTGAGTCCCCAAACCTTGTTGCTGGCCGGTTCACAGTGGACAGTCCTGGGAGGCGGTGGCTCTCTCGGGAAAGAGCAGACACTGATCTAGAGAAAGGTCTAGACGCCTTGAGGGCTTACAGGGTTGGGTGCTGTCCCAGACAGTGTGTGGCAGGCACCCTGTCCAGGGAAGCGACCACAGGATGAGCAGCACCCTCCGCCACTGGACAGTGTCCTCCTGGGGTAGAGCCCAGCGAGGAGCCTTTGTCATGTTTGAGGGGAGAGAGTCAGGTCACATTGTGAGGGGAATGACCACCTCAGCTCAGCAAGCCACAGGCCCAGGCTGAAGGTGAATGCGCGTGACCACCACCAGCCATGGCGACAGAGCCCCACGCTGTGTCTGTAGGACATTCAGAATGTTTGTGGGGACCACACAGAGTTGCTAGCTTATTGCTAGCTGCAGGTTACCCCCTCTGCAGTCAGCGTTCGCCGAGGCGGACACTCTTCTGGCCCTTGAGGCTGTGGTGAGTAGGGACACGGGACTAGAGATCAGATCTTTTCAGGAATCCGGCCACATCTTTGTCAGCGGGAGAGCATGCAGCATATTGTCTTGGCCGGTGACAGAGCCAGGGAGGGCGAGGAGAGCAGCTACTGGCCTGCTCTTGTCCCTGGGGCTGCCAGTGGCCACTGAGACTGTTGGCAGGGCCTCCTGGAGGGTAGGGACATTAAGGCCTCAGCCAAACTCTTGACCTTGCCAACTAGGTACAGAGGGTCCTCCGTGCGCAGCAGGGCTGTGCTCCTAGTGGCCTCTGTTCCCTGGCCAGATCAGGGTGGCCACTAGCAGTGGAGCCATGTCGCAGTGTGGGGACCTCAGTTCTGTTCCTAGCAGAGGTGGTTGGAGCAGATTTAATGAGGGAAAGGCCCTTAGGAGAAGTCATAGCTTCATCCATAGCTGTCACTGTAGCAACTGCTGGGAAAGGCCACCCATCCAAGCAGTCATCAAGGCCTGCCCTGGAGCAGCACAGGCTCAGGGCCTCCAGGAAGGCACCAGCTCCTCTGGAGGCTGGCCTGTGTCTACCCAACGTGGGAGTTCCCATGGATAGACCCTGTCTATCCACAAAGCGCACCTCAGCCCTTCCTTAACAATAGGACAGAATAAATGTGCCAGGTAAATTTGAAAGATGTGACGTTTTCTTTTGAAAATGAGATGCAGAAATGAGGAGAGCTCACAGTGGCCAGGTCCCCGTTACTGTGACACACACCTGAGGAGGAGACACTTAGAAAAAAAAGGTTCGCTTGGCCCACAGTTTCGGAGGTGTCATCCCACAGCCAGCTGGGACCAGGTTGTAGCGGACAAGGTGGCAGGAGTCTGTGGCAGATGAGGCCCAAACTCTCATCAGTGCCAAAACAGAGAGGGAGAGGCAGCTACTACTCAGGAGTCCTCCTGGCTAGCCCTGCCCCTTAAAGGCTGCTGGCTGCTACAGGCTCCACTGTAGCATGGCCGCCATCAGGGCTGCTTTGCCATGATAAAGACCTTGACCAGAAATAAGCTGGTCAGGGAGGAGACGGTTTGTGTCATTGAATGGGAAGTCAGGACAGGAACTCAAACAGGACAGGATCCTGAAGGCAGGAGCTGCTGCAGAGGCCACAGAGGGGTGCTGCCTACTGGCTGGCTCCCACAGCTTGCTCCTCATGGCTTCTTCAGCCCGATTTCTTATAGAACCCAGGACCACCAGCCCAGGGATGGCACCACCCACAGTGGGCTGGGTCCTCCCCCATCCATCACTAATTAAGAAAATGCTCTACAGCTGGAGCTCATGGAGGCCTTTCCGCAGCTGAGGGTCCCTCTTCCCAGATTAGTCAAGGTTGATGTCAAGCCGGCAAAAGCCACCCAGCACATCGCCCTTGTTGGAGCATGAAGCAGCGGCAGCGTGTCTGTCCACCCCAACACTGTAACCCTGAGGACCCAGGTAGCACTGTCATCCTGGACTCCAGCCCCATGACAGCTTCACTCTTTGAAAAGAATTATTCTTCGCTTATTGGGGAGGGCATGAGCTTATCTTATTGTGCACACAGTCCTCAGGGGACAACTTGTGGAAGCCAGTTCTTCCTTCCCCCACAAGGGTCCCAGAGACTGAACGAGCTCTTCTGCCAGCTGAGCAATCCTGCCATCCCCACCCTCACTCTGGTTCCCTCCTGTGTGAGCCTCCAGAACTAGGCCTGACCTCTCAGTGACCCCGTGCCCTCCTCCGCCGCCTCAGAAGATCTCCAGCTTTCAGGAAAGATCTGGAAGCAGGTGACAAAGAAAGCGACAAATGCAGCCTCCATACCCAGAGCCTCCCTGTGGGCTCCCATAGGCAGGTGTCTCCTCCTCCTCAGCTTTGGACTTGGAAGTGTTGTGCAAGGTCCTGGGGCACTAACAGGAACAATGGAAGCTCACAGAACTCACAGAGCTGTGGTGCCAGGACACGGACCAAAGTACAGAAAGAGCTGGGAAGAGGAGCCTGAGGATCTGAGTGGCCCTGGTGTCGGGCCACATTCCTGCTGAATCCTTGCACAGTGCGGGCCCTGAGCCAGGGTGCAGTACCCAGGCCTAGACCGAGCTCCCACAGGAGGGGAACACCGCGTGGCTGAGCACTGGGCTCACACTGGCCCACAGCCGTGGTCCTCGGTGTTCTATCGAGTGGGAGGCCCCGGGCTGGCCCAGAAGTGCTGGGTTCTGTAGCAAGATGGGGAGAAGAGGACGCTGTCCCTAGCATGCAGGAAACAGTGAAGGCAAACTGTGTGATGGAGTCCATACCTCAGGATGGAATCAAACCCCTGGCGCTCTGTTCCCATGGGCAGGAAAGCACAGTCCATTTGGAGACCATTGTCACCAACCCAGGCTGGCCTTCAAGTCTCAATCCTCCTGCCTTGGCCTCCCAAGTTCAGGGATCAGCGGTGTGTGCCTGCTTCCTTGATTAAATTGTCACCTATTCACCCCATTGACAGAGAGTGAGGACAAGAGACTGTCCTCTGTGGATGGAAGGGACAGTTGGTGCATGGCACTGCATGGTCAGATAGCAGAAACACCTGCTGGGCCGTGCCATGGCAGCTCCTGAGTGAAGGGTTGAGTACAGCCGCCAGCCAGAGTGACAGGGCAGCAGGATGGTGAAGGCCCTAACTCGGTGCTCAGAGAGCCGCATGGCCCTGGTCAGTCAGAGAAACATCAGACCAACTCTCCCTCAACCCCAGAAGCCCACCTGGTCTGCCCAGGGGCAGAGCCTGCACCCACCTCTGCCAGACTCTGGCTTGCCTCCTCCAGAGAGCCAGCTCATAGTCTGTGGTACCAGGGCTGCCCGTGCTCTGCAGACTCAGCGGGACACCCCACCGGACACCTACAGTCCTGTTTGGAACCTTGAAAACATGGCCTTCTGATCCGTGCCGAGGCTGTCCCCAGGCTGAGGGACATGGGAGTGGGAACCAGGGAAGCAGCATAGCGTCTGTGCTGGCTCTGGCAGGGAGGAAGCCCTGGAGTGCACCCCTGTTTAGGGAGGAGCACAAGCCTGCTCCCTCTGCAGCAGGGATCTTGTCAGTCACCAACAGTAACTCCCCTGGGAGACTGCGCAGTCTGGGTGCAAGGGGATGAGCATGGGACAGGGGACGCCAGACTTGATGTGGCCGGACGGGCAGCAGGCACCGTTCTCGAGCCATGATGGTCTCACCTGGAGGGACTTGGCCTCCTTGCCAGCATCATAGCTGGCACCTAGTCACAGGGCAGCCATGGAGTCAGGTCACATGTCTTACCCTGGAACAGAATCAAGACAGGAGGGTGGCGATGCCCACAGCCGGGCCAGGTGGTGAATTACTGGCCCTCCCTAAGCCGTGGCCTCTGTGCCGCCGAGGCCTGCATCCTTTGCTGGCTCTCGGAGCCTCTCTGGATGTGTAGTTTTTACCCAGAGCCCTTTGACCTTTGGGTCGGGGAGGCAGTTCACCAGCCTGGCTGTGTCCTTCGTCACTGTGGCCTAGACCTGTCCACTGTCCCGTGTTTCTGCAGCACAATCTGACACTGTACCATGGGCTTAGGACACTTCGGAGTTCCCCCCAGTGTGGTGCTGTGTTCGAGTTTCAGCCTGGAGAGGCAGTGTCTGTCTCCCTCACAGGCGGCTGTATACACTAAACCAGGGAATTCGGAGGCCAAAGTGTACATGCTTGGGTACATGCATTAATGGGTGGCAGCATGCATGGGGAGTGAGTGGGCAGATGGGTGGGTGGATGGATGGGTAGATAGATGAATGAGTGGGTAGATGGATGGATGGTGGGTGGGTGGATGGATGGATGGTGGGTGAGTGGATGGATGGATGGTGGGTGGGTGGTGGGGGGTTGTGTGGGTGGATGGGTGGATGGTAGATGGTGGATGTGTGGGTGGATGGATGAGTGGGTGGATGGTGGATGGATGAGTGGGTGGATGGGTGGGTGGATGGATGAGTGGGTGGATGGTGGATGGA